TGCCACCCAGCGAGGGCCTCGAGGAGGGCGAGGGCAGGCTGTGGTGGTGGTCAGGAGGCGCCTCGTGCAGGCCTTATTATGGTAAATGAGAGGGATGGGCACCACCTTGCTGTTTTGTGGTTGCCGTTTGAAGCAGTGGACTGTGTCCGTGGGCTGGGCAGGCTGCAGCTAGAGCTGTTCTGCCAAGGGTTCGTATGCAATGTGTGTGGGTGGCAGCCTTTCCTGCCCAGCAGTGCCATGAATAGTAATGTGCAAGGAGGGTACAGGCACTTGCAGGAAAAGGGTGCTTCAGAGAAAGTAGGGGCATCACAGCAGCTGTCATCTCTCAGCGGTGTCATGAGGGTGGTTTTGGCCCATGGCATCTTCCATAGCATGTGCATCAGCCTCTGGACCTTTGTGTTGGAGTAGTGAAGTTGTTGGTAAAGCTCGAGCTTTCTAGGTAGGCTTGGCAGAGGAAGTGCTTCTGAAGGATCTCCTTGCTGCAGAAAGGTCTCAGTAGCGTTCCAGGCTCACACTTGTAGCAGACAGTTTCCTGCGATGTTGTGGTTCTGGCAGGTAGTGTCTGGAGGACAATCTTCATGTTAGCACCTGCTGCAGAGGTGGGGTGTGAAGGTTTGTACTGCAGATGGCATCCCCGGTGGATGTGGGTGGGACAGAGATGTGCAGGAGGTCTTGAAGGTGTTTGTGCCAGGAGGCAAGGTCAGATGGGAGTGGGGTCACATCAGCGTCATAGTTCTCTCTCTCCCCCCCCCCCCCCCTTCATACAAAATAAACTCTTAAAAGCCAGGGTATTTTTAAGGTGTTTTTGGATTTATTGATCTGTTAAAACCCAAGGGAAGGGGGAAGCAGCAGGATGAGGTGAGTAGAGCAGCTGACAAAAGGCCAAAAAATGAAGAGAAATGAAAGTATGGCAGGATTCAGGCTGTATAATGCAGGAAACCCAGAACTGTGAACTAGCTGTGTGTCATTTGCAGCTCTGAAAGTGAAAGAAGATGCTGGCTTGGAATGTTACACAGGTGAATAGGATTTTATGAGGCTGTGAAGAAGACGTGTGCTTCTCGCCTTTCTGTTTCTCTCTCCATGTGTTTTCAGAAATGTTCCTAGATTCATGTGATCTTTTTGTCTCCAGTAGTATTTAAAATTATGATCCCCAGAAGAAAACAGTAGTTTGCATAGCTAAGGACCTCAACTTTAGGGCCTACCCATGTTACTTCTGCCTTTTTGTCTCACTGTGTTGTAGCACAGTCTGCAGCTACATGATGTTGTGTTCTTATCCTCAGTGCATAGGGTGGACTATATTTTGGAGTGAACTGAGTTTATATTTAAGCTGTTTTCTGCAGAATATTCTTTTTCTTGTACCTTAAATCAAGAGGCAAGTAGTAAATGAGGCAGGGGATTTTTGGGGTGCCTCTGTGGTTAAGGCAGTTGAATTATCTCTGCTGTCAGGTGTTGGCCATTGTCTTTGTCCAAACCCCCTAGCAGGTGATGACTGATGAGATGCCTTGAGCTGTGACACCTGTGCTTCATCTGAGCTCTGCAGCTCTCCTGCTCTCTATGAGTGCAAAGCCCCTCAGACACAG